GACATTGGAAGCCTTCTTCCTTCAGAAGACCCTTCAAAGGTCTTCTCTATCCGGAATATTTTGGAAGGTATTCCTTTTCTCCTTCCAGAAGACCTTACGAAGTACTTCTATATTCAGGAGAATTGGCAAAATCAGCTCTCTTCCATATCTAGAAGATCTTCCAAAGTCTACTTCTTACAATAGAAGGCCTGCAAAAGGTCTTCTTTTTCTGAAAGACCTTGGGAAAGTATGTCATATGTAGAAGTCCTGAATGAGGTTTTCTAATTTTAGAAAATCTGTAATAGGTATTCTTTTCTAGAAGATCTGTAATAGGTATTTCCCGAAAGGTATTCTATTTATGTTGGACCTGTAAAAACTGTCTATATAAAAGGCAATTGTAAGATTTTTTAAGGGTTCTCCTACATAATCCCTAGAATTCAGGAATATTCCTCTCTTCTTCTCTCCTCCCTCTCTCTTTCTCGCTGTTGAAGAACTTTACAAGAATTTTTTTCTTTGAAGGCTTTTAGAATGCCTTTTTCCTCCAGATGACCCCTAGGAAGTACTCATTTTATAGAAAACCTTAAAAATATCTTCTTTCTTTAGAAGATCTGAGGTTATATCGCATGAGGACCTTCGAAGACGTTCTTATCTTGAAATAACCTCCTACATTTGAAAGCCTTTAAAAGGTCTGGAGACCTTTGGAATATCTGCTTTCTCTCTCTCTAGCATGCCTTCAAAAGTTGTTCAGTCTTACGAAAGTGTTCTTTTCTCAGAAGAACTGTAGACAGATGTTTCTTCTTTAGATGACATTTAGAATGTTTCCTTTCTTCAAAAGCCCTTGGGAAGAGCCATTTCTATGTAAGACCTTTCATGGTACTTTTTTTCTAGAAAATATTTATAAAAATAAATTTCTCTAGAGGACTTTTAGAATGTTTCTAGGAGATCTTTAGGCGATTGTCTGCCTTCAGAAGGCCTTTATTCTCTGGGAGAAACATTTCTCTAGTTGTATAGCTTTCTGTCTAGAAGGCATTTATAAATATTCCTTTCTCAAGAGGGATCTATAACACCTGTAGTTGGTATTCCGTCTTTAGACTCTTAGAAGGTCTCCTTCTCTAGTAGAAATAAACTGATTTCTTTCTTCATAAAGACCCATCTAGAAGGACTTTTCAAGATCGTAACTTTCTGAAAACATTTGGGAGAATTTTTGTTTTCAAAAGCTTTTGGAAGGACTTCTTTCTCAAGAAGACCTTTAGAAGAAATACTATCGTTGGATTTACTCTAAAGAAGATTTAATCTCAAGGAAACCTTCAAAAGGGGCTTTCTTTTCCTAGAGATCCTTCATAAAGTTTTCTCTCTCTCTTTCTCTAAAATTCCTAAAATATTTAAAAGACTGTTTCTAGAAGTCGTTTAGAAACCCCGTTCTTAAGAGAGTCGGTACGAGATCCTTCTCTAAGGAAATTTTAAGGGGCATTCTTTCTCTGGAACTCATTTAATGGGCTTAGGTCTAATGTGAAGCAATATCAATTTTTCTCGTAAGGCTTATTTTAATTCCGCTAGAGTCGAATTTTTTATCACATATTTTATAATGAGGCACATAGGTGCTACAGATTTGTATCGGAAACTTTCTAAAATTTGGTTTTGTATCCTCTGGGAATCTACAATTTAAAATTTCTGTAATTTGTTCGAAATATGTGGCAGATATTTATGGACTGTTATATGAGGTAGGTATACACCTTCGTAGTTCTAAATTGACATTTTTTGAGGAGAGAGACACATTTGTTTAGAACCCTAAATTTCAAACTGCTGCGGTCAAAAACTGTGACTGAAATCTTCAAATTACGGAAAGCCGAAAGGTAACGTAACGTGAGCTCTTTCTTCACTACAGCGAATAGAAGGTCGGACGATATTTTTAATTAAAGTTTAAATTTTAAACGGATCAAGAATATATACGGGGGGATGGAGGAATATTTCGTGGTGTTGGAAAGGGAATGAAGAATGTACCCTTTCTCATGGATAAATCGGGTCTGCTCCAGGCGACTTTCATTTGTGACAAAAAAAAAAAAGAATACCATAACGGCCTGAATAAATATACATTTATTTTCTTTCAATTTCGGTGCTAGACTTTTGGTAAAATATTTAACAAAGGCATCTGGCAAATTTGTTGCCCTAAGGCAGGTACACATTTCACTGAAGACTGTCACCCATGACTCCTCCGAACCATCATAACCCATAGACCCGATAACAACTGTTCACCATCATCATTATGTGGACATTGCATTAGAAATGCCATAAAAAGCCAACCCAAAGGAACTAAGACAACATATCCGTTCACCAGACATTGTTGTTGTTCTTTGTTTTGCTAGCCTTGCAACAAATGTTGCAAATATGTATGACTACCGCACTGAGAACAGCGCGGATTTACTACTCCTACACAAAGAAAAAAAAATATGTTTATTTTAGTATTTTTTCATATGGGTTTAAAAACTTGGTTTTATGGCCTCGGCCATGCATGCTTCTTTTTCTTCTTTATGAACGAGAAGAAGTGTGGCAAAGACAAAGACTAGCCATATAAATATCTACATGTACTTTTTAAGCCCTTAAACAATGACTGTGTAGTAAGTAATTTATTTTCAACATTTTATGTATTTTTATGTTCGTTTGTGTGAAATGTTTATGTTTTGTTTATTATTTTTTTTAAATACATCTTCTGGTCCTTGAATTAAAATATAAGGCAAAATTAAGTATCGTCATGCCTATGAAACAGTCATTGAAAACTTTAAAGTGATTTCTGTATACCCCTAGCCTTTTAGTCAAATTGAGGCTTGCGGAAATTATGAATTATTATGGATATATTTTTAAGGAATTTCGGACCACATAGTTATTATTTTGGTGACAAATATTTTTTTTTTTTTTTTTTTGGTCTAAAGCCTTCGAACGAAAATTATGGATTTTTTAAAAATATTTTTTTAACAACTTCGCGTACAGAAAATTATCTTTCGTTTTAGTCGTTATGTTTTAATTCCCCAGCCCCAAGACTGTTGTAATATTTATTGCTGCATCAGTTGCTGCTGCTACTGCTTTCTGCACTAACTGCCATAAAAAAGCCAATAAAGCAACAACTCGCGGCTTTATGACTCTTAGAGTCTTAAAAAATGCAACCTTGTAGATTTTGTACGTTCGTTTGCTCGGCATTACTATCTATTTATGGTATTTCTATCTCTAAGCCATCACGGCCAGCCAGTCAACCACTCCCCATTTCTTTAAATGGCCGTTGTAGAAAAAACCAACAACATTTCATTAGAGTACTTGCCATTTAAACATGTGTGTGTGCACTTCTTTTCCTTCGCCTAATAGCCTTTAAATTGTATATGATGTGCATTTATGTTATCCTGTGCCCATCTTAATTCCCAATGGTACCTTCAAACATTTTTTCGGCCACAACCCTCTTTGTGTTGGCAAAAGGAAAAAGTACTTATATGACAAATTTATGCCCTTGCGTCTCATAAAACCATAACATTAATATCAACAGCCTAAGCTAAGCACACAGTCCATAGCTTCAAAGGTGATGGATTAGCAAAATGCTCTTAAGTTTTGAAGGGAAAAAGGGAAATTAAGTAAAATACATTTCAGTGTATTTTTGTAATGAAAGATTTATATTTTTTTTTTTTTGGAAATTTCGTTGCATTTCTTGGTCACTGAAAAATCTGGCTAGTTTTTAAATTGGACCATTGATAATTAAAAAGTCATAATAAAAGAACAAAAGCGAGTGCAACCAAAGTTTGCCGAATTTAAATGGAGAATATGACTAATTTAGAAAAAAAAGAACTTGAAATCGGTGAAATCTTCGGACAAATTTGTTTCCAATTCGGTATATAGAGTCCGTAATGGGATCTACTTATAGTGGCAGAACATTGTCCACATCGGTCCACGTTTAGCGATTTTAGCTAATTTTTTTTTAACGGAATTGTTTGAACTTAGTATTAAGAACTTGTACCGGATTCTACCTGCTGTGTCATAAAACTGTCCTCGTTTTCATATAGCCCCCATATGTGCCTCAGGATTTTCGAGGCCTCAGGATATATGATATGGATATATGATATGTTTTTTGCCACATTTTCAAGGGAACTGTTTCAATAACTAAAATTGTCAAGTTAGGTTCACGTATTGATATAGCCCCATTTTTTTTGTTAATTTGAAGACATTATCTGCCTCCTCTAACCGATTTTCTGACAATTTCAATTTAAAATAAAACTTGGTCGAATATTGAATTCCGATACATTTTTAAGTATTAAGGAAGCATTAAAAGTTCGGTGTTTATGATGTCAGGCTAGAGGGTGAACCACTGGTGGAAATCGGGAACTATGATTTAGCGATGCCGGGTTGTTCACGATTGGTACCCGGGTGGTTGATGTGAAGTATGATTAGCTGACTATACGGAGGTCATCGGTACTCGAACTCGTGGGCGACAAGGAGAATCAGGAATTACGATGTTTGTGTTCGGGTGACGCCGGCGTTCAGGATGGTGACGATTTGAAGGCAATCGGGAACTTGTGGATAGTCACGAGATGTTGATAAGTGCGGGAGATCAGAAATTACGATGTTTGTGGTCCGGTGACGCTGGCGTTCGAAATGGTACCGATTTGAAGGCAATCAAATGGATGGTCGGTTGCGATGGGTTGAGTTGGAGTTGGGATGTGGACGACTTAGAGTTAACTAGTAACTTGATTGAATGTTTATTGGGCTGACGAGCGGTGGATAATCGATTTAGTTTACGATGTAGGTGGTCTGGATGTTAATGTCTAGCTTTTCGGAGATGAGTTGGGGAGTAGTGTTATAATCGTGAGGGGACGGCAGTTCATTGTATACATACTCGGAAGAAGATATACAGGTTGTCCTAAGTTGTTTGAGTTCGGCAGTTTACATATGAATCGAAACTCGTTCGGGTTCGGCAGTTGTCTACAATGGCTAGGAAACTAGCAATACGGTTTATGCAAACCTCTAAATTACTACCAATGTTTGATCTACGGTACAGTACAAATAGCCGAAGCCCCTCCGAAACAGCGATCCGGAACTCCTGCGGAACAGCCAGCCGAATCTCCTAAGGAACATCGAGCCAGAACACCTTCGAAGCAACGAGCCGTCGCCCCTGTGTAAACGAATCGGTCACTCAACTTTATGAGAGCCTGTTTAAAAAGATATACCCAGCCATGGTTTCTGTTAGTCGGAGGACAGAGAATTATTCAGAAAAATACCCTTTGGTAAGCCTTCCTGCAGTAGCATGGCTGTCTAGTCTTAACACAAACCGAATTCTATATGTGTCGGGCATTACAAAGTGAATGAGAATTATTTACCTTAATTTAGGAGAATATTTTGACTTGCAACGATCCCTTTTAAGGGAAGTTTTTCTGCATAATTTTTAAAAGAGACAAAAAGACCACTTTGTGGACTCGATTGAGGTTAAATTGATGATAATAATTCTCGTATTGTTATCAGTGATTTCAATTAAGGCCCTATCTATATAAAATATAAGGATTCCAAAGAAATACTTAATCCCAAAATTTCAAAAAATTGAAATGGAAATGTGCCCCTCTCATTAGGTAAATTTACGATTTAAACTTTCAAGACAATAATTTTAAACTCAACTTTTTTTTATTTATTTATTTATTATTTATTTATTTATTTTTTTTTTTTTGCTGCACTGAATATAAAACATTAAATCAAAATATTTGGCATAAATTTATTTATTTATTTTTTCAACCCTGATTTCATACAAAATTTTATTCTTCGAAACCGATACAAAACTACTTCTCCAATGAAACACAACAAAGCACTGCAGTAGCCGATTCCCAACAAAATTGCTGGCATTTCGAAATAATGAATATCCAACGGCAATGAATCCAAATTGGAAGTTTTCAAAAATCGAATGTGTCCCAGCACGATGCCTTCCTCTTTGGTGAGTTCCTGTATGTGTGTCAGCAAACCAGTCTCGAATATGCGCAACATATAACGATGCATTAAATCCAAAAATGGCCAATTGTGATGCATTGGAATATTGGCCCACAGGGCAATTGATGGCTTCGTCATGAGACGTAGTCGAGGACGTTGCAGGAATTTCTGTTGATATAAATAAAAATCACATTTATCCTCGAACGTGATGTAGGCATATTGGGGATTTAGACGGGAGCGATGTTTGCCGTAGGTGGTTATGTCGACATTGAGATAATTACCGGATATTTTATCAAGGGAATCGAAATATTTCAAGACCTCGATGTCTAGGTCATTTGTTAGGATGGGTATTTTTCGCTGTTTTAATTCCTCCACGCTGTCGATTTGTGGTTCATAGACATTTGTGGTTAGAATGCTGGATAGGAATGTCACATACAAGGTTGAGATAATGAAGCCGGTCAGTGTGAGAAGAAGATACAGGAAGTATTTTAAATGTCCTCGCCACGGCGGTAGGTTGTAGGTTGACACAAAGAGTATGCTCTGCAAGGACAATAGGAAAAACTTTCCCAAACTCCAGAAATTCGATTTGTAGCGATGAATTAATGATAGGACCAGGGTATGGACGGCCAATAATATGCAGATACTATACCACAGTGAGTTTTCAAAAGGTTGAAGAAAATATTGGTATTTCGGTATGGTTTGGGAGAAAGGCACTTGAATGTAGCCATAATTTATAAAAACCGGAGCTGCAATGGCATACAACTTATCATTGAAATGCATGAAATCCCCGCATAAATCGATTTTATTTTCAAGTAAAAATGCCATACAATCTCTCAGCGAGGAGCTTTGGTAGTTGGGCACAAGCATCCATTGCAAGGTGAAATTGAAATGCCGGGCAAAAATTTTAATTAAACGTGGTACAATGCCACTATAGATCATTTCATTGTTTTGATTCGGATAGACAAAGGCTCGTGGAGGATTATTGCCGGCACTGATTTTTAAAGGATATCCTTGCATATCGGGGATCACCTTACGTTCCTTGATATATATAGCAGGAGATATGGGCTCAAGGCGAAGGTGGGGTATAAATTTAACTCTAAATAAATTTTCACCCTGGATAGAAGTGAGCATTATCCTGCAGAATCCTTTATTCCAACACTGCATGAGGAACTCATGTGAAGCATTTGAAATATTCTCCGTGAGTGTAATGAAAACAATATCCCGGTGAGTCCACCTATTTAGATGTCTGGTAAAATTCAGCCATTGCTCCTCACTCCATTCCAATGTGCCTTCTTCCATGAACACCAGCAATAAAATTTGTGAATTGAATTTGCCTCTTAATTCCTGGCTATTTTTCCAATTTAAGAGAATTTTTGGTTGTTGTAGCTTTAACAAAAGTGTTTGAATGTTCTCCCCTTCAGATGATGGGGTTTTAAATACAAGCAGTGATTCGGCTCTTATTCCATAATAAATCTCATTTATCAATTTTATTAATTGCCGATTACTAACGCCCTTCTCGGGAGACGCGAGTGTTTCACTTGATTTCAAAATGGAAAATAACACAATGGTTCGAAGTGCTTGGATAATATTCATCCTATAAGAATGGGAAGAGACTAATTCCAGAAAGTGTCAAAAAAGCTACTTAGGTCTGGAAGAAATGGGCAATTGCTCAATGGGAGTTTTAATGAAAGAGGGATAAAGGGTAAGCTTTTTTGGAATGGAAGGAATTCGGGAGTATAACTTATTTAACCGATTTTTGGGAGTTTTAGGGAACTACTTGCTCTTTTTCATCATTAGTTTTGAATGGAGAATCATTAGAGATACAGCGGCGTATTTTCAAAATAATTTTTCTGAAGTACTGTCAAATAAAATTTTTTTGAGGTATTGTCAGAGCTATTATCGTAGATCTCTTTCCGCAATATTCCGCTTACAGCATAAGGCAAATAATTCTCATTCACTTGGTAATGATGGTCACATATAGTGATCGGTTTGCGTTATGATGAGACAGGTCTTGAAGGGGGGCTTGTCAAAGAGCAGTTAGTAATTTTCAAAATCATTGTCTGTCCTCCGACTAACAGAATCGTTAAATGGGAATCTTTTTTTGAACTAGATCTCATTAAGTTGAGTGGCCGGTGAATCATATGCACAGGAGTTTCGGGTCGTTGTTCCGCAGGAGCATCGGCTCTCTGTTCCACAGAAGAATCGGCTGAATGTTCCGCAGGAGCAATGGTTCGCTGTTCCTTAGGATCTTCACCTCTCTGTTCCGCAGGAGCTTCGGCTCGAACACTAGTAGTTAATTCGGTGTAGTCATATACCGTAATGCTTGCTAGAATAGTTTTCTAGCCTTTGTCGACGACCAGCTAAACCTGAACCCACAGCGAGCGGCCGAACGAATTCCGGTTAATCTGTGAAAGCTTAGACATCGGCTCCCGAGCAAACCCACATTGATTTGCCGAGCCCAAAGGAATTCCGAACAATGTTAAAAGGCTTAGATTGCCCATGAGCTGCCGAACCGAACAACCTAAGACATCTTCTCCTGAGTATCTTTACAGTGAACTGGCGTCCCTAACGTTTATACCACGATTCCCCAACCCATCTCCGAAGACCTGCTCATCAACTCCCCAATCACCTTCATCGCAAACCTCGATTGTCTACCACCCGTCGACCCTAAGACCATTCATTGAAGTTCCTTCGAATCGTCAACATCCCGAACACCGTAATTCCTGATCTCCTGCTCCAAAATATTGCAATAATGGTCGTTTTTCTGACAAACGGTTACAAGGACCAAAAGGCCTGCAAGCATGGAAGAATATTTTCAAGGACAAACTAATCTTGTAATTTTTAAAAATATTTTTCAAGGACCTATCGGGATATAATTGAGTCATTCACGAAGGATTTTGTTCAAGGACCATCATTACAATAATCGTAAAGCTATAATTGTGGAAGAATAAAGAATACTTTTAGGGACTAACCGAGTCTACATCATGAAATTTTAGAATAATATTTTTCACGGACCAACAGCGTTAAAATCGTGGGTTTTTAAAGAATCCTTTTCGAGGATCGACAGATAGAATATAGTATTTTTAAAGAATAGTTTTCACGGACCATTAGAGAAATAATCGTAGATATTTGACTTAATTTTTCTAAGGACTATCAGGTGTTTTAAATGTGAATAATAGGCTGTAATCTTTATTGAAGGACAAACAAAGCTATGGGTTATCTATAGGTCCTCTATTCTGCTATTGAAGATTTTAAAGTATTATATTGCCCTATGGAGGACCTGAGCTCTTCTACTGTATTATAGAAGACCAGAAGCTTATTTTCCTATAAATTTACGTTTCTGGGCACTAAAAATCCGCGTGTTATCCACGAAGAGCCATTACACCCGCTCAAAGTCACTATATGATGTCCTGTTTTCGCTGGAGGAGTCATCGAACCTTTTTTCTTCGAAGACGTCGCGGGCCAAACGGTTACTGTGAATGAATGATTAACGACTTATTTTTGCCGCAACTTGAGGAGTTGGGACTGGAAAACATGTGATTCCAATACGACGGTGCACTGCACTGCATTTCCCGGGCGCCTAATCTCCCGTTTTGGCGATTTGCACTGCCCAACAAGATCGCCTGATTTGAGCGCTCCAGACTTCTTTTTTGGGGCTTTTTGAAGTCGCGGGTTTATGCCAATAAACCTCAGACTCTTTCAGCTCTTAAAGACAATATTCGTCAAGAATGTGAAAACATATCGCTGGCAGTTTTGGCCAAAGTGATCGAAAATGCCATAAAAACGGCTCAAATAAAAATAAACTTTCGACTGGATGTAAAAAAGCTAAAAGGCCAAATAAACACAAATCCACAAGAAGAATCAGAGTTTTTCATTTTTTTGATTACAGCAAAAACATCGGAAGTTTATTTTGACTACCTTGTAATCTAGAATTTGGGTTTGTACAAGTTTTGAAGCATTCTTTTGTAATGGTATTAAGTCTGGACCTTAGGACCTAGGTCCCCGTCCCGTTTTTCATTACTTATTCCTCTATTGCTTACAATTAGATTATTTCGATATTTTTTAGGACTAACAAAAATGTGGCAACGGTACACGACTTTGGACATGAATGTGTGCAAGTATAGAGTATTAACCTGAGCGAAAAAATCTTCTGACCAAATAGTTCTAACTTTCTTATTTAAATTTAACCTCCAGAATTTATGTACTCCTCCTACAAAATCTTTCAACTTAACACCAAAAAATATTCCATCACCCACAACTGTTACACCCTCTCCCTCACACACCACTTGTTCAACGACTTTTTGACATTTAACGATTACACACACAAACAAAAAACTACAATACAAATTAATTTATGGGCGTTGCAAGATTTCTTATCTTTGGGAAAATTATTGCTTTTAAATTCAATCTTTTAAGCTTTTTTCTGTTTCACATTTTTTCTGCTGTGAGAATATGCCCATATGCCAATCGATGAACGAGCAACCAAACTATGGCTATGGATAAATTTTAATTGTAGGTTGATACCGACAAACCAATGAACCAACCGAGTTACATTTGGGGGTGCCTGTCTGCCTGTCTGCCTGCCTGACTCGCTGACTGGCTGACAGTAGTATATTATGCATAAATAGGAATAAATTTAAACAGATATGCTTGACACTCCTCTGATTGTTTGTTACCACACAATGCATAAATTATTATCTGAGAAATAATTGCCGTACATAAAAACATATTTCGAAAAAAAACAAAGAAAATAAATGAACGCACACAAATTACAGAAGTAGAATTTGTGACTTTTATAAATGGGGAGACACATTAAACGGTGGATGAAATATTAACAGCATGTGCAATGGGTAACCTGTAAGAAATGGGCGTTAAAGGACATGGACAAATCTATTTTTATAAATGAAACATAATTTTATATAATATACTATCCTGTCAAAGGTATCTTGAATAATTATCATAACGAAGAAGTTTTTTAGGAATGGCTTTGCCGAAGTTATGGGCAGCGTAATTCATATTTATTTGTTGTCTTCTCGAATTTTTAGGATAGGTTCGACAGTTCTATGTTTAAGGGTCTAGCATGCCTTTGAATTGGAATTATATATTCTATACCCTTTGCCTTTTCCTATACCCTTTCCAAAGTACTTTCCTTTCTGTACTTTACACAAGAATCTTACCGCACATATTCCATATTTATTATGTATTGCCATCATGTCAATATAATGTCCTTCCTCCTTTGAAGTCCTTCAAATATCACAACTCGTTTACATTTCCCTCTATTATTTCAATAGAATAATTCATAATTTGTTTTTCTTCCTCGGCTTCTTGTTTATTCCTTTGTAAATTACAGAACCACATTCTCATCATTAAAAAAATTACAGATAATTAACTTCAGTTGTCTTCAACAAAATGTGGTTTGATGTGCGTGGCAAGCATCGAACCTGCACTTGTGGTTTGAAAAGTTATTAAAGGTAGTTAGAAACACATGTTTCCAAACGGGAAAACGAGGATGCGAAATTGTTTAATCCAAAACCACACTACCTTAAGTGAAGACATGTGTGCTTGGTAAAGGTCGAATGGTCTTAATTCACACGCTCAAGAAATTGAAGAAAAAGTGAATGTGAAGCTACCTTCTACCTCTTTCCTCTATTCAGGACACCACTGGAGATTTTTAATAACTTCGATAAGGTTTTATGGAAAAAATTTTAGGAAATATCAATAGGCATCTACTTTCCTGTATACGACAATAGAAGTCGCCCAATAACAAAACCTCCTCCCTGAGTCCTTATTTTTATTCGAAACTTGAGGTCTACTGTTGAAAAAGTCCTGTAGCGACCTTAAGTTTTCATTTTTCCCGTGGAAGACTTTCGGGCTTCTCTTTTAATATAGACAAACTGAATACTTCTTTTATCTAACCTGAGGTCTTCCATTGTACTATAGAAGCCCTGAGATCTTGTATTGCCTAATGAAAATCTTGAGGTCTTATATTGTCTTGTAGAATACCATAGAGAAGACCTGAGGCCATCTGTTTTCCAAT